AGAACCTCTCTAAGCCTTTAAAGGGCAGAAGCTGTTATTAAGCAGGTTTTTTGCTACCATTCACATCTTTGTTTTAAGTCTTATTTTAAGGGAAGAAGAATCCACATTGCTTAAGAAGTGACCCTCATTGTCTCTTGGAGGGATTAGCCTGGTATTATTTTAGCTTTAGGCTGCCGTGAATAACCTGGAGTGTGGTTCTGGCTGCTGCACACAGTGTGTACCTGTGGGGCAGTGAAAATACAGGAATTTAGGATCACCAGTGAGGCCTGGAGAGCATCCAATATTCTGCTCATGGGAATACATCAAATATCTCGTGGTCAGCAGCACAATTTTCCTCTCCTGATTTCCTTTCCCTCTGCCCCCAGAATGGTTCTGTACCACGATCAGCCTGGCTGTGGTGAATTTGAACAAATATATACATTGTTCTTTCACAAGGAACTTCCATGTACAGTTTCTAATTAAATGATTTGAATCATTCCAGTTCAATCAGCCTACATAAACATCAAATATCAAAAAGGAATCTCTGCTCCTGTAGTCCTTTGCTGCCTCCACAGAATGGTTTTCAGCATTATAAATGATGTTTGCTCTCCTGTTACTGCATCTCCAGTTAATGAGCAGCTTTAATATAGTTGGAGCATTATCCCAGCATGTATTTGCAAGAAGTATATGACAATGAAATAGCAATTTTTCATTATTTTTCTTAATATCTTTAGACCTTCTCTGCCTCTGATAAATATTTCTACTCAGCTTTGTATAGAAATAAATTCCTCTTTTCTAAATTATCCTCAACTGCATTTTCTTTATATGACTTTTTAAATCTTTTTATCTATTAGAAAGGTCATCTCAGTACTTTGCATCAATGCTTTTTCTTCCCTATGTTTGTTAGGAATGCTTGCTATGACAAAGGAAGGATTATCTATCCAGGGTAATTTTCAGTTTTACTTTAGATCTAATGCAGACTGCTGAAAAGCATTTTATTTCTTTTAATCTATATCTTAGTGATGAAGTGGTAATGACACTTTTAGAAGCATTACTTACTTATCTTGTTTTCAGGTAGATTGTGTCACAAAAAGGGGTATCATGAGATATTCAAAAGGATTCTGTTTCTTGCAAGATTTGTCCCATTTTTATTTGAATGTCCCCCTAGCACAGAAGGTTCATAACAACTGATTATTTGGTTACACTTGGATTTATGATTTAGTTCCCAGAAGGAAAAAGAAAAACAAACTCTATTTTATCATATTGTTTATTGTTTTCTTCAAAGAGAAAATTTGGCTGATCTGGGAGAGTGAGTGCACCAAAATACTTCCTTAAATAATAATGTCCATTAAATGTCCATTAAATAATAATGTCTTCATCGTTTTCAGGGGTAAGAAAATGAGAATGAGAGAGACGAGTGCCAGAGGGATGGGTGTGGGTCTCCTGTTTCTCCTTACTTTTTAACCTATATCCTCTTTCACAGCACATATTGAAGATGAAGCCAGTTCTGGTGCAGGCATTGTTTCCCTTCTACTGCTTTGTTATGTTTGTGTTGGTGATTGTCAGGCTGAGGATTCCCATGAAATGCACTCTCCCATTTCAATTTTGGTCTCAGCTAAAAATAGAGATTCCATATCAGAAGAAGAGTGTAATAGAAGATAATGAGATGATACCTAGAAAGGAAATACCAAGCAGCAAGAGAAAGACCAGAAAAAAAATTCGTGTGGCACTCAGCACTAATTATGAGGAAATGAAGACATTGCCCTCTAAAACCTTTGCAGTTCAAATCCAGCTGTTTGCTGCTGCATCCTAATCCTTTTTGCTCTATAGGTTTCTGGAATGATGGAATTTTGATTGAATGGGTTTTTAGCGAGTTTATTCTCAGAATTGTCAATGTCCCTGTCAGAAATCTCATGAACACAGATTAGATGTGAGGAACACTGATCAGAACAGGTTCATGTGGCTGCCTCTTGTTCCACACAGGGAAAGACGCATTGGCAAGCTGGGCAACATAGAAAATGCACGTGCAATGGGTCTGGTTTCTTTCTAATTTAAGGAAGTTAAGATTTGTGTCGTCATTGCAGGTCTTTTCAGGCAGTTTGAACTGCAAGAAGTACATATCTCGTGTTTATTTGTGATAGTTTTCCATATTTTTTATGGAAAATTACTTGTAATGTTTGGATAGTTATATATATAATATATCTATATCTACTATATATGCTATAAGATACTGTTAATGTTTGGATAATTCTCAAGTGCAAAGGTAATTTGCTGTTGTCTTTTCTCCTCAAGTGCATGTTAAACATGGCCTTGCACAAATCCTGGTACATTAAATGTAATTGGCAGTATTATTGATGTTTGCAGGTATGCACTGATTCAAAGGATTGCCTCATAATGAGCAGTTTTTCACTTAATCATCCTTTTTTCCTCTGCCAGCATGGCCCAAGTTAACTCCACTGATTGCAAAATGGGAATCTGAACATAGATTTTTATGGCCAGTGATGTCAGAATTCATATGAAAGAATTAATATGAAGCCTTTAATGTACCAACTGGAAATATGTAGTGCAGTGAAAGCAACCTGTTTACATGGTGCTCTTGGTATTGAGAAAAATCTGTTCTGCTTCACAACTCCTTATTGTATTATGTGGGACCCAGGAGAGTTTGATGCCATTAGCAAGTGTAGGAATGAATGCAAGAATGTTTCAACAGATGCCAGAATCGGGCACTGTTTTGTATTTCTGCTGTTTTCAAATATTTTTCTTTTAACAACATCTTTGTCCTGCCAGGAGGAGAAAAAGCCAAATGTTTTTTGTGTGGGTGTACAGTGTTCACCTACCAGTGACAAGGCAGCCTTGTCCTTCCATGGTGCACCCCACACGAGCAGAGAAACTGAGATTTATGAAGCCACAAAGTGAAATAGGAACATATTTCTGTTGCTCTGTGGCAGCTGCAGTGACACAGAAGTTGTTAAAAACAGCAGCACAAAGCCTGGATTTAAAACTCCCAACAGGTGGAACAGATCTTATTGCATTTGCCAACATATCTCGAGGCTCTCCACCTACTGTAAAGAAAATCCTTTTGTTGCTATTTTCAAACAGAGCATAATTTGCTAAGGAGTTAATGATATAAGAAAAATCAGTAGTTACTAAACAGGAAAAAGCTCTAATTGTGTGGCAGCTGTAAGTGAAGAAAGGAAATAATGTTAAAAAAAGGTAGAATAACTTGGTAGGTATATGTGTAATATTGTGAGCCTTGCATGGGGCATAGAAAGCATTTAACTAATGAATAATTTGCAAATTTCCCAAAGCACATGCTTTGCTTGCTTCAGTCCACATTATAATAATAGAAGTGTCATAATAGTTGTATTTTTGTTTAATTTCAAATGATGGCTGTTAGCAGAATTATCTTAAATCAGAATTTTGCAGATGTTGAACTGACGTTCTGTGAGTCATGAACCTGAATTTTTTTTTTTTACAAGGAGAAAGATATTCTGTATCAGAAGAGTTGAATGGAAGATAATGAGATGATAGATAGAAAGGAAATACCAAGCAGCAAGAGAAGGTTTATATTTTATAAGCACCTAATTATAAGTTGATCTTTTTATGAACTTGTATTTTGTTTGCAAATTAATGCTAGAAAAAGTTATTGCCTATGCCTTAAAGAAAGATTTTTGGATTCTTTTGAGGATTGTTCTAAGCACAATTTTTTTAATGCCTAGAATTGAAAATAGCTTTGATTATAAAGTGTATTTTTATTATGTTTTTACTTTCTGTCACGGTATTGTCTGGATTTTGCCTGTGCTGATTAACAGAACTCTCCAAGGTTTACGTTAGCCCAGAATTTTGATTACAGAATATAAACTTATGGACTTCAGAGAGTGAAGTAAGGCTTACTTACTCAATAGAGATGATTGAACGGTTAGATGCTGAAATGGTACCATTGCTCCAACGTGTCCCTTCCCTCTTGCTGTGTGTGCCAATTTCCTTGAGGAGCTGTGAGCACTTTTGTTGCCCACTGCAGAACACCTCGAGGTAGCCTCCATCATTTATATTGCATTATCTCTCTTTTCAGACTGCTTTTTAATTTTTATGTTTGCCTAAGGCCTTGCTCTGTATTTTGGCTTTTTCAGCCTTTTTGGCTTTTTCATCTTCTTGCTCCAGAGCAAAGGATAAAGATCTGAAATGAATTGCAATAGTCAATATTTCTTTATTCCTTCAATAATTCTTTACAGAACTCTGAAAACTGAAAAGCTGACTCCCAAAGGCGACTGAAACTTGTAATTTCGTTTTGCTCGACGTGAAGTTCTATAATCCCTCAGCACATTACCTGGTTCTGCTGTGGCATTAGGGTATTAGTACTAATGGAAAGACATAGTTATTACAAACAATTCCAAATTTCATGGTGTGGATCTTAATAGCAGAAAGGGATTTTCTCGTGATTAAAAAGAAAAATGGGTGGCGAAATAAAGAAGGAATGCTTGTTACATGGGATGATCCCCTGGAGGCTTAATTACTGAAAAAACAAATAGGAGGTAAATGTTCAAGATGTTTGCAGGTTAAACATTGCATGAGTATCTTTAAAATAAGAGTATCTGCAACCTTGGAGCAGCTAATTGCTCAAGAATCCCAGCCATTTGTGCTGCCTCGTTTTCCCCTGGGATCGACACTCACAACAGGATAATTCTTACCCTGATATAAGTGTCACAGTAGGAACTCAGTGTAATTTGCTGATATGATATCAAAAATAGCATTAAGGTAATTACATTTTGCACTTGTAATGTTTCACAGGCAACAATATAACTGAAAAGTACTCTTTTTTACTCTTTTTTTTTTTTTTTTTTTTTTTTCTTATAGTAACCTGGCCATTCCAGAACCACAGTTTTCTACTCTTTTTCCTTCTAGGGTTGAGCAGTGAAGTTACTCAAAAGTTTTGGGGCTTTTTTAGCATTTCCAACACAGAATTGTATCCAATAATCGGAGCTGAAGAACAACGTAAAGTATCACACTCTTTGACATGGGAAATGTTCCATAGCCTAAGATGATCCACTGTGAGATCTTCAGTACTCTCCCACTGCAGTTTAATTTAAACTCTTTGTTCCTCTCATTTTCTGGAGGAAAAGTAAAACAAGTGGATTGTTTTATTGTTGTCGCTTGGACGTGTTCCTGTAGATTAAATTGAACCTTTGTGTTGAAAAATTTAATTCCCTGTCTCACTAACCTTTACTTGTGAATTGTGAAACCTAGGCAAGGAAGATCAGCATTTGCAGCCCTTCAGTGGTAAAGTGACTACAGCAAGAAAACCAGGCCTCAGTTTGCTGGAAATTGCCATGGAGATCTGGATTTAAACTGACCTCCCCCTGAATCTACCTCAGGTGACAGAATGACCTAGGTGCCACTCACTTGGGTCACCAGGGACAAAGGAAATGGATTTAATTATGATTCAGACTCAGCTCAATTATGATTTAGACTCAGAGGTTTTGCAAAGCTTTGTAGTAAGTTGGTGGTGCTTCTTTCAAGTCTTGTATCAGTTTCTGGGAAATGCTCAAGTCCTGGGAAGCACATCTTTATTAACATGTGCTGTCTTATTTAGATGGTGCCTATCATCTTATTTAGACATTTTAGATTAGATTTGCAACTTTGGTTCGTTAAATCCTGGTCCAAACACATTACCCAGAGCTGACAAACACGGGGGAATCAGAGTTTAGGCTTTTGTAGCTACAAAAGACAAGTTGAAGAACTGATGGCAGCTTTCAAACCAGCGTAACTGGTTTGTAACTTTTCCAACCTGGTGTAACTGGGATGGAGGCTGGCCCACATGGAAAGCTGCTCTAGAACCAGCTGTGGCTTGGCTCTGCTTCATCCACACCTCCAGTTCTTGCAGGAAATAAAAAACCAACCCAAACTATTTGTCTGCCTGGCTTTGAGGGGCTCCCTGACCAGGCTGCCCATGGGTGACTGATTCCTGCCAAAGCTGGTCATGAAAATGTGTAGAGGAGCCAAGCTGGACTGGTAATTTGTCTTTGCAGCTGTTAGAATTTCAATATACAGAAACAACCGTTTAAAGAGAGATTGTTCTTCAATAAAAAAGGCACTCTGGGCATCTCAAAATGAAAGCCTGGAAATGAAGGTGAATTCAGATGATGTATTTGAGAGCTCTCCTGCAATGGGCTAAATCACACAGAGAAAAAAAATAAAAATAAAGAAAGAAATTACATTGGAATATAATTTTATTTTGCCATTGAACAGTGCTAGAGACCCTTTTTGTAGATAGACAAATGCTTGTCATTACTTTATGCTCAAAGGCAACATTGAAAGTGACCTGGAACAGGCAGGAACTGACTTTTTTCTACTAATATGATATGAAAGTTTTATCGTATTAGGAATTTTCTGTCATGGTGGATTAGTATCAGGTCATATTAATGTTCCTTTTTACTAACTTACAATGAAATGTGCTAACGTGACTACACTTCACTATCACAAGAGAAAAAAAGCAGAATGATTTTATATTAATGTGATACCATAGAAAGATTTCAATACCTCTGTCCCATGGCGAGTAGGAAGAAGTTAAAAATAAAATAAAATTTAATGGCTTGGGACAAGGAGTTTGTGGGATTTTTCTCCCAAGCATGAGAATCCTTCCCTCACCTTCCCTGCCCCCAACATCATGTCTATATTTGTTAAATGGTTTCTGGATTTTTGAAGTGATTAATTTTGAAGCAGTTTGGGCTTGATTTCATAATTATGGTTGCTCTCCCATTTCTAACTAAAAGTCATTTGGAGCAGCAAATACTGAATACCTATAAAAACAACCCAGGATGCTTCAGGCTGACCATCCCTTTACTTTCAACAAAGCAAGTGTTGACTTCTCAAAAGGTTGATCTAGAAGCCAAATTAAAAAAAAAAAAAAAAAGAACAAACCAAAAAATAGAGAAGGTAGGGGGGGAAATAAGGGGGAGGAGGAAAAAAAAACCAAAAGGAAAAAGAAAAGCCATCATATTGTGTCCATGCTCCATTATGCACTGAATGCTGTGGCCAGAAATAATTAACAGGCACAAAGGGTGGCAGTTAGTCATTTGGCTGTATGACTGTACCTGCAAGGTTTCTTTCATCTGGAGCCAAAATCTGATAAAAATGGATAATGTTTGAAATGTTCTGTCTTATCTAAATTATGACCAGAAAAAGCCTGGGTTTAATCTTGGCTCCCAACTTTTACAGGACAAAGCAGACGAGTTTGGCTCCTAGATTGAAACTCAAGTCATCTCTAATTCTGAAAATCTGTAATGTGGTTTTCAACATTTCCTTTTTGATGCAGCTAACATTCCCTAAAAGCTTTGGTCTCAAATAAAAAGGGATCAAAACCTGTCAAAAACCCTAAAGAGGTGATAAATTAAAGCAGAGTTATTTTTAAAAGGGCAGCATTGCTTCATTGGGTGACATGCATGAAGAACGGTGGGTTCCCTGCTGGAAGGTGATGAAACACATTTACACCAGCTCAGAGGATTTGAGAACATTCTTCTTGCTGCAGGTACAGCCCTTTGCTTCAGGTCCTTGGCAGGTGAGTGGAGGAGAAGAGACCCCATCATATTCCCATTTCCTGTGAGAGGAGAACAGATGTATTTTCCAGTTGTTATTTTAAGTGATTGGTCTGGAGCCCCTTGACCTTTTCCTGTTTTTTGGGGTTTTTTTTCTGAGTTTCTCACCCTGGTGCTGTCCCCATGAGGCTCAGCAGCTTCCCATCAGAATGGCCTCAATTAAAACAGCAGCACCACTATCTGTAGATGACTGCTTTCCATCATTTATATTGTGTTATCTCTCTCTTCAGACTGCTTTTTAATTTTTATGTTTGCAATTATAAGTGATTTAAAGGAAAATTCATTGCACGACCTGTCCAGAGTCATTAAATTCACCTAGGTTGAATAACCTGACACTCACCTGGAAATAACCACATCAGGGACATTATCTTACTGAATTTTCAGCCAACTTAGAAGTATAGTCCTTATCTCTTCTTCCTTTTTCTCTTCCCTCTCAAGTGTAGTGGTGGGGGAACATTTTTAATTCACAAGAGATAATTAGCCAAGTCTGAAAGGTGTGCACTAATTACAGAATGCTCTATATCTCCTGTAGCTGACTGCAGCACAGGTTTCTGAATAGTAGGTATGATTTTTTCCAAACACTGTTCAGTAATTTGAAATGTTATTAGGGGATTAACTTTCCATATGAAAAGCTAAACTAATACTTATTATACAGATTATAGCAGCAAGTGGCCTGCAGGCTGTTGAGGCCATTATTTTGCAGGCTGCCATCACTGCCAAGGGCTGAGGAGGGTGCAGAACCATCCCCATTCCCAGGGGAACGTGCAGAGCAGCATCCTCTGCTGCTCCCCATCCTTCCCACCAGCCAGGCTGATGGAGGAACTGAAATGGAGAGGCAGAGGAGAAAGGTGTGAGCATTGTTTGTGCAAATCAATCCAACTCCGCTGACCTTCTCGAGTTACTAGGACCAATCTTTGGGGAATGGCTATTAAATGTTCACTGTATTGAGAAAACTGAGCAGCACAACTTTAAGTATCTATTTCAGCTTGCTGGACACGGGGTGAAGTCAGTTTCTGCATCAGTATTTTTAAACCCCAATAAACAGCTTGTTGTGATTTACTGTTGATGGTGGTGGGTAGAAGCTGTTGCTGGTTCTTCTTCTCTCCTCCTCAGTTTTTATGCTCTTATAAGGTCACATATTCTCTCTTTGGGTGACCCCTGATATTTGTCCAACTCTCCAAGCTAAAAGCATGAATCTGAAGCTTGTAGCTCCAGTAAAAACCTCCCATTCCCTATGAACAAGGCAAACCAGACCTACTTTTAAATGGAGGCCATGCAGCTGTGACCATGGAGAATGGAGGATGGGGAGCAGTAGAAGGAAGAAGCTCTTTGATTTCTCTGCTGAATAAGTCAGCCCTTAAGTGTAGGGCTCACACTGGGGCTGTAAAATGCACACTAACCAGTGGATGGAAAATACCTTGTGCTTCTAGGGGAAATGTCACCTGGTTTTGGGAGAGAAAGGGATAAATGATAAAATTTGCTCATCTTTTTAAATCTGTACGCTGGTTTAGTGTTAAATTCCAACACCACTTGTCCACCAGCACCTCCCACAAAAAAAGAAAACAATCCTGCTATTGTTTTAAAAAGAAATTATTTTAATGTAAGATCGTACTAATTGCATCCTGTTATTCACACTGAGTTGTATTCTTTGTTTTGCAAAGTACTTGGTGAACTCTTGGTTAATGACTTAAAACAGATTTCATTGTGACTTTTTTCTCTGCCTTTTTCTCTTCATTTTGCATTCTTTGATAGATCAACCAGCAGAGTTCTTCCTAAAAGGACTTGCGTATTCTCTCTAACAAATGTCCAAATTATTTATTAAAAACCAAATTATCTATTCTCACATCTGCCTACCTTATTAATCAATGCTTCCTTTGCTTTGCATTTCAGTGCTTTTCTGTTTGTAGAATTATAGCTTCAGCCCCTCTGTTTGTGCTGATTTATGATTGAATAGCTTATTGAATGCACTTTGTCCACATTTCTGGAATACATTTGCTGCTTTAAATTTTTTAATGCATTTAGCTTCCGATATGAAACTTGGGGAAATGGTTCTGAACATCTCCGCATCAGGTTCCCATTGCATCCCTTTGTCTATCCTAGCAGGAATATCCTCTGAGATTTCCTCCTGCAGGCATCTCTGAAACCCCTAATTGAACCACTAGTGTGCTTGTTTAAAGTGTTTCCCTCGCCTGGCTTTCTAAAATGATTTTTAAGCTTTCCCTACACACGTTTTCATCCTCCCCAGCCTCTCCCCTAACTAATGGCATTATGATGGTCTCCTGCCTTCAGGGATCTCTCTTGAACCACATGAACTCCTGGAGTGTCAGTGAGGACTTCTCTCACTTTCTGTTCCCACTTTTATTTCTCTCTTGGATGTCTGATGCTCAGCTGTGCATCCTTTGGCAGGAGAAGAAAAGGGTGGAAGTCACTGCTTTGCTCCCCTGCATGGGCTGCCACTGAGCCCATAGAGAAACTCATTTACAAGGGAAAACTTGGCATTGATGCCATTAACAGTGCATCAAACATTGAGTTCTTTTGGTTTTTTATATCAGGATATGCCCACCTGGCCCTTGCATCCTTAATCATGTAACCAAAGCTCAGACTGAAGTGCCAGTGAAGCTTTCAGGTTGTAGCTCTGGTTTAGTGTAAAGTCAGAGATCTGGGAAGATTAAGGAAGATCTACAGAACACCCCAGTAGGATTTTTTAACAATTTAAAATTGTTTCTCCTAGCAGTTTATTTTGATTTAGTAAAAGCAAGCAAAACCCAATTCTGTCGTAGGTTTTTTACCTAAGATCATCCAAATAGGGAAACTGCATTGTACAAGGGAAAACTTGGCATTGATGTCACATCAAACAGTGAGTTCTTTTGGTTTTTTATATCAGGATATGCCCACATGGCCCTTGCATCCTTAATTGTCTAACCAGAGTTAGAAAGCTCAGACTCAAGTGCCAGTGAAGCTTTCAGGTTGTAGCTCTGGTTTAGTGTAAAGTCACAGATCTGGGAAGCCTCATGAGGAAGATTAAGGAAGATCTATAGGACACCCCATTATGATTTTTTAACAATTTTAAATTGTTTCTCCTAGCAGTTTATTTTGATTTAGTGAAAGCAAGCAAAACCCAATTCTGTCATAGGTTTTTTAGAGAAGATCAGCAGCCATGGAACACTCCACCTTTGCAGTTTTCATTGTAATGACAGGGTGAGAAAGCCACTTTGCCCCTGCTGCAAAGCACCAGTGTTCAGGTAGGAGGCATCAGATACAGTTATCTCTTGGAACAGTTCAATTAAGGCAAATTAATTCTTTAGCTATTCCAAGTAGTCATTGGATTTTAGTTTGATGCTTTCCACTCTCTTTCTGGAAAGTGAATTCTTAAATCTTTGGGTTTGACCCAACTTTAAAAAAAAAAAAAATTAAAAAACCCAAACCAGGAAAAAAACCTCAGACTAAGAGATTTTGACTGTCTGATTCACTTTTGGTTTTGTTTCATTTGGTTCAGCCTTTTTGTTTTAATACTTGATCAAATCTTTCACTTCTAATATTCTATGGATGGGTT